TCTTTTAAGTGAGAGTAAAAGCAGGTAACTGTGATTTGTTGATACTTAGTGTCCTAGTAGTGCTAGAAATAATTTAACAGCAACGAGGAATATTTTTTTTTTCAGAATCAAGTATACTTGTATGATTAGCCCTTGGTCTGCTCTGAAAGAAAAGGTGCATCAAGTTTGATTGTAAAAAAAGTGCTGTTAAAAATTTAGTTGGGATGAGTTTCATCTGGAAGACCAAGTTCTCTTTATGTGTGAAGCCCAAACTGAATTCACACTAGTGGTAAGATCGTGCAAATAACGCTTAGCTCTTCTATAATGGTTTTTATCCTCAGCTCTTATGCATACTTTACAACGAATGTAGCAGCCATTACCCTGTTTTTTCATGGTGGGGAAAAAGAAGGCGAAAAGCTTAGTTTAAACATGTGAAAAGGAACAGAACTGTGGGACTACTGTGAAGGCAGAGGAAGGAGGGGGTGTCTAAATTAGTTACTGGTTTTCCTGAGGGAAGACTAGCATCTGAATCAATTAATTATTTCTTAGGAAGTACTGAGAGGGTAGAAATGAAAGGGGAATGGAAATAATTAAATCTTAATATATGCTATATGTAATTTTCATTCAGCCTGTCTTTTGAGTGTTTGACACTACAGTCTTAAAAGTATTTTTTAATAAGTACAGCATAAAGGAAGTGTTGACCCTCAGCGATTTAAAGATAAAATATTTTTGCAGGATGTACTGTGGAGAGACAGAGAGGTGTTTGAATAATGACTGACTTTATTCCTTTTGTAGCTATTTTAGATTTTCATCTCTCCCTGTCCAGCATTCCTAATGCAGCTAGGATATTTTTATAAGAATACAATTATTTTTTAAGGAGCTTTTGGTTTGTCTGATTTTGAAAGTGATGGTAAGTGGGACTAAGGTGAGAGAAGGTTATTGGCCAAGACGCGGAAGAGTCCTTTTCTCAAACTTGTTAATTTTATATGCAGTGAATAAAGACAGAAATTGCATACAGATTTTGTGCAAAGCCACTGCATCTACAGTTGTCAGTATTTTAAAATCCACTTGTAAAGTCACAGTACTTGCACAGTTCAAACAATTCTGTTTGATGCTTCCCTCGTGCTGCTCTAACTGACGTTTCAGAGACTTCTTCTTTTCTCAGTAAACCATCTTCTTTTGTTTCTCTGTAGGCTTGCATAATAATAGACATGCCACTAATATATAATGTCAACTCTTGAATGCAGATGTTTGTTAGTAAGGCTCCAGTGGGTATGGAAATAATAACGCTGATCCTTGACAGGATCAAGTTTGTATATAGGATAAGTGCAGACATTCTTCCTCAAACCATTGTGTTATGAAAGATTGGAAGTTTTTCTGACATTTCCTTTATAGGAACTATCTTAGGACTGTAATTGAGAAACAGCATAAATCCGGAGAGTACAGGTGACATTTCTCATATGCTCATCATGCTATGATGAAAAAAATGGTAGCAGCCATTATTTTTAAATCTTCAGTTAGTTGTAATGCTGAAAAGTTCTGGTAGTGACTCACCAAACCTTATGGACAGTGCTCCTGATAAGTGTGCTAGATGAATAGTGTTGTAAACTACTTTATGACTTCACCTTTATATCTGTAAGTTTTTCTTATCCTTTCTTCTTAAAAAAATTCTTACTGATAACCCTCAAAATGTGAGGTTAGTACAGTGCCGTATGTAATATACACAAGATCATTTTTACAGCTTTGAGGAATGTCATGAATGCAATTCTAAATTTAAATGACCTCTCTTTTGCAGTAACAGTATAGATACAATAACTGTATGTATGTGTGCACTTCAGATACAACTTCTGGGATATCCTGGACAGCCTTTTGCTTGGTCTCTTCTACAATATTTACACTCTTCTGTGTATAACTGACATTAGGGAATTTCCCACCTTCTTCAAATGGAGACTTTCGAAATTTAAAAAGACTACTCTTGAGTAGTATTTTTAAGAGTAATCTTTTTAAAATTCATCCATATTGATTCAAACTCCTAAAGCTTTAATTTTGGAGTATCTTAGATCTCTGTAAAGCAGTAATTTAAGCCCTGGAGGAAACTTCTCAATCTCCTTTGAGACTATTAGCACTGTACTTTCATGGTTTGGAGTATATTTCATATGAGGAAAGTCTGAGAGATCTGGGGCTGTTCAGCTTGGAGAAGAAAAGGCTCAGGGAGATACTTTCAATTTGCATAAACAGTTCATGGAAGGAATGAAGATGAGGGAACTAGGCTCTTTGCAGTGATGCCCAGTGGCGGGACTGGAAGCAGTGGGCACAAACTGAAACGCTGAAGGTTCCCTCTGAACATCAGGAAATGCTTCTTTACTGTGAGAATGATTGAGCACTGGCTCAGGTTGCCTGGAGAGGATGTGGAGTCTCCATCTGTGGAGAGATTCAGAAGCTGCCTGGATACAGGCCTGGGCGACTGGTTGTAGGTGACCCTCTTTGAGCAGGGTGGCTGGACCAGATAATTTCCAGAGGTCCTTACAACCTCAACCATTTTGTGATTCTGTGTGCCTTGGGGTCTGACTCTATGTTTGTTCTGTCACTGAGACCTCCCTTCCCTACCTTCACTCCAAACTTGTGGAATCTTTGTTTAAGAGTTTGCCCCAGTGACTGTGGCGAAAAGAAAGTTCCTTCTCTGCCCTCCCCATGCCTTAATGTATCCTTTCTGGATACGTTTCATTAGTTATACATGTCAATTATGGAAATTTGGGGTACCTTGGAAATGAAAAAAACCCCACCCCGTATTTGTGTGTGTGTCTGAATATTGTATGTATCTATATACAGATATTTCATAGGAGTCCAGTCTAAAATCCTTAATCATAGTGCTTTGATTACTGTAGCAATAGTTGTTGTATCTTTGTTTTGTAGCTTATTAACTTTTTTCTTCTTTTTGTATGTGTGTGTGCATTGTCTTGCAGAGTTGGAAGAATCCAGGGATTTCAAGCTTTGAATAACAGGCGTCTTACAAAATCACCACAGCTAAACTGAAAAGGCAGATGCATCTCAGAGTACCTGATTGGGTGAGCTGGTGTGTGCACTGCATGTACATGAAAACGCACATGTTTTTGTCATCACATAGACTTACTCCTGCATATTCCTGAGAGCTTTGCAATTGATGAAAATTAATTTGAGAACCAGATGGAGCACCTTTACAGCACAGGAATCAGTAACCCATGGAAAGACACCTGCCAGTAATGTTCAGCTTTTCACATGGTCTTCACGGGTGAAAACAGTTTGCAAGAAGAGGAAGAAAAAACACCCTTTGCACAGAAGAAGCCTAACAAATACCTCCACAATCTAAATCAGTAGCTGTGAGGGAAACAAGAAGAATACAGAGGGTAGAGGAAACTGACTTTGTTATTGCAGAGGAATAATGTATGGTCTTTGGCATGTTTTGCTTTCGGCCCAATAGATTGTGAATGGACTAATAAATCGTGACCACATGTTGAGTAATGATGACTGGAAGTAAATAAGTTGAGGAACTATGGGACAACTCTGGGCATTGAACTGAGCAAACCTCATCGTCCTTCTTGAGTTAACCAGGTCATCAAACTGATGCATATTCTTTCTCCCTCTCCTTTTTCCTCTTTTCACTTAGTGTGGTATAAATACTAATTAATTGAGCTCATAAATGTTATTCAAATAAAACGATTGGAGTACTTCATATGTTTCCTTCTTGTACAGCTGCAAATGTTGTGTCTGGAACTATGAATCTGTGCTGTAGACAAGCATCAAGAAGGAAAGATCCGATCAAAGAAGCAAGGAAAATACCTAGAGAAATAGCGAACCCAGGAAGTCAGATTTTTAATGCTGCTTCTCTTTCTTTTTTAGATGATTATATTTCTTCCTTCCTTGAATTTTAGAAGATTTTGAAAGAGTGCTTACTTGATGTGCGTTAACTCTGGCATTTGTTTTTTACGATAGGAGGAAAAATCTGTGATTCCTTGTAGCAGAAAAAAGGGAAAAGTGAAGGAAAAACAGCTTGACATTTTAGCCTGTTTCAGAGGAGAGAGAACTTCATGGTTCACCTGAGGCAAACTTATCTGCTTGAAAGCTAAAAGGTTTAGAGCATTTTTGATTCTGCTATAAATGAAGAGGGGGTTTCTTTTTCATTCGTGTGTGGCAGCAAAGAGTGGGAAAGCAGGCAAGATAGCGTGATAAACAGTTCAGGCTGTGTTGGGTCTCTGGTGGAAAAAAAGTGCTGCGATGAAAAGTGGATTGGCTTTGGATTGCAAAAACTTTTG